CTAAAACATTTTCTTCGATTTTGACAAGTGGCGCTGTAATCCATCAACTATCAATTTTTTGCTTTAGATCTGCTGAACTGTTATTTTAGTGTGTGACCAATAGCATCTATTAATGTCAGAGGAATATTCAGTCGGAAAATTGTTTGATGATGAAAATTAAATATGTACCTCCAAATCAACACAACATCTATTTATTTATTGAAAGTATATGGGCCGGCTTCTCCGTATACAAAAATAATTTCAATTTTTTCTTGCACAGTTAATGCGCCCATGTCAAAAATTATAGTAGCTTATTTAAATCAAATTCAAACAGTGGTTCTAACTCAAAACGAAATTAATAAATGTCAAAGTCAACAATTTGGAATTGTTTGAAAAAAACAAAACGCTTTTATTAGCGTTCCTACATTGAGTTGAGAGAAATTTTAGATGACTTTGACAGCTTCATATTCAAAATAAATTTCGAAATGCCACGTATTTGCAATGCGAATTTTCAAACCATTGATGCTATACTTTTAATAAACAAATAGATGTTTTGTTGATTTGGAGGTACATATTTGGTTTTCATCATCAACTAATTTTCGGACCGAATATTCCTCTGACATTAATAGATGCTATTGGTTACACTAAAATTTTCAGCGTTTCAATTAAACAATAGATAGTTTAGCAAATCTACAGCAAAAAAATTATAATTGATGAACTGCAGCGCCACCTGTCAAAATAGAAGAACATGTTTTGGATATATTTTTCTCAGTTTTTGACGTACTATTCGAATCTCTAATAAAATGTTGTGGTTACTATTTGAAATTCTCAAGTTGGCCCCCCCTGGCTAGTCTAAAAGGTCGAAGTAGGCGTTGTTTTACTGACACGAATAAAGTTCCCCCTCCGAGATATTAACTTCTTATTTGAAACGTTTTTTTCATTCATTCATCACTCGTTACCGAAATATTTAAGCGTTTCAATATTTAAAAAAACCACCCTGTATATTATAGTTCTGGATCGGCGAAAGATATAGCTCAGTAATATAGCTCAGTATCAGTAATTGACACCCATGTCGAAGATTGGAATAGGATGTTATTATCAAACGCTTGTTGTTTTGGAGGTATAAGAATCTTGCCCATTTTGCCAGTCTAAATTTTATATGTAATGAATGACCCAATCCAGTTCGGCAGGGGTGTCAATTACTGGTTCAAAGAGTGTAAATAATTGGATTTTATTTGTATTTAGAATATGGCACCCAGGAAAAATTTTAGTCCTGAAGAAATGGCCCACGCTCTTCAACAGATAGCCAGCGGTATGTCAGTTGCTGTCGTAGCGAGGCAAACTAGAATTCCTCGTACAACTTTATTTGACAAATCGAGCGAAAAACACCCAAAAATTTGTAAGATGGGTTCAACCAGTCTGACAAATGAAGAGGAGACACTTTTGGTTCAATGGATTATTTTACTTCAACAGAGACATTTTCCAATAACAAAGACTATGTTATTGGACAGCGTGGAAAGAATAATTACTGGAAAAAAACAAGAGACTGCATTCAAAAGTAATCGCCCAGGTGATAAATGGTTCAATAAGTTGTTTCTGCGAAGGCATCCAGAAATATCACCAAGGGTAGCCCAAAATTTGACACCTGCAAGAGAGAATGTTAGTGAGAGGCAACTCAGAAACTGGTTTTCAGAAGTTAAATAGTACTTGATTTCAAAAGGATTGTTCGAAATTACCAACTAACCGAAACGAGTATTCAATGCAGATGAAAGCGCATTTTATTTAAATCCTAAAGATAGTAAAGTTCTTGCCAAAAAAGGTGACAAAAATATATACTGCCCATATAGCAAAATGATATTCCCAGAATATACCTGGAACATTCATGTGATGTACATGCATATTCCTGGGACATACATGAGTTCCATTATGAACATTCCA